AAGAGTGTCCCACAAGAGTGTCCTACAAGAGTGTCCCACAAGAGTTTCCTACAAGAGTGTCCTATCAACTTGACTCACCCTTTGGTGAGCCACCCGAGGGTAACATTTAGAGAAGGATGTTGCCATTTCAGCTTGACTCACCCTTTTGTGGGCCCGGCAGGGGCAAAATTTAGAGAAGGAAGTGGTCATTCCAAGTTGACTCACCCTTTGGTGAGCCACCCGAGGGTAAAATTTAGAGGAGGAAGTGGCCGTTCCATCTTGACGACCCTTTTAACTAAGCAAACATCCGGGAAAGGGCCTGTGTGCGCACTTGAGTCTCCCCCATGGACTGTGTGCGCAGATGAGTCAAATCTGTGTGCGCAGATGAGGCGCACGTGCTAACAAAATGTGTGTGCGCAGATGAGCCAAATCTGTGTGCGCAGATGAGGCGCTGCCCCCCACAAAAGTGTTCCTACAAGAGTGTCTTCTAAGAGTGTCCTACAAGAGTGTCCCACAATAGTGTCTCACAAGAGTGTCCCACAAGAGTGTCCTACAAGAATGTCACACAAGAGTGTCCTACAAGAGCGTCCCACAAGAGTGTTCCACAAGAGTGTCTTCTAAGAGTGTCCCACAAGAGTGTCCTACAAGAGTGTTCCACAAGAGTGTCTTCTAAGAGTGTCCCACAAGAGTGTCCTACAAGAGTGTCCTAATGACATGACCTATAGGATAGTTTTACTCACTTCCGTTGTGTGTGTGTCTCATATACTTCTTGTCGATGCAGGCGAACCACAACAACGCACGGTCTTGCACTCCTATTTACAAGAAGATCAGACGCCGCAATTGTGGATTTCTCTGTATTATGGGGACGGTTATCATTTTCAAGTGCTTATTTTCGAGATTTTGGGACAATGCCATTGTTTCTTTCGTGCCGCGGATCTGCCAGACCCTTTACGCCAGTGCTTGATTTGAATGCAAAACAAAAATCCTTCATGATGAAGACAGAGCTTGGTGGTGAAGTCCCCAGCGCATGCTGCCTTGGTGGTGGAGTCCCCAGCGCATGATGTCCAACAACGTGTCAGAGAGTGAAAAAGAGATTCCCACCGGCTGTGTCTCTTTTTATACACAGTGGTTTGACGTATGTGTTTGCATTCGGGTTCGTGGGCTCCATCTTGTTTTTGTGGAAAAGCATGTGAGTGTGTTTTTTTTAATCAACTTCCTCTCAATTGACCCGTAATGCTTTGTGAGGCCAGGTTTACATGCCTCTTCCGGTGGAAAACACGGACGTTCTACGCCAAAAGATGGTCCCTTCTACGGTTTGTCTACGGCTCTTGAGCTGGGCCGGAGGCAAGGAGGAATAGCAGGCAAGAAAATAGTCCTTGTTTTGGAAAAATAAAAACATGCTTTCCGGGAAGGCTATTTAATTAATAGTCGATGAAGCCTAGGGTAGTTACTCGTAAGTAGAAAAAATGTTCAGATATAATATATTACCTTATAACATTTACATCTATAATTAATATATAAATATATATATATGTATATTATACGTACTATTTACGCTATTTACTGCCTTTAGTTTTCGAGGAATTCTCCGTCCAGGACTATGCGTACTACCTTGCATATCTCCACGAATCTCTCAGAGATCCAACGAGTTTCCCCGTAGGCACACTTGAAGTTCAGTCGAGTCGATGTGAAAAAATGAAACAACAAACAGCTGCAGGCAGGCAACACCCCAACAGTTGTTGTCACGGGATATCAAGTCCTATTCTCTTCCTTTCAAGCATGCCCCACAACAACTGGCATATCCCCAAAAAGAACTTGTGGATTTGAAACCTTGTGGATCTCAAAGGTGAAGGTCCGTAATTACTCCTCACTCCGCAAAAAAATACAAGAAACGCCAGAAACATACAACAAGTGTTGTATCGAAAACTCGTCGATTTTTCTGCAAAGAACTCCTTTGAGCCACCACCTGAGCACGCCGGCCACCATGGTGCCGTCGATCTCTGACATGCGCCGCGCGTAGCGCGCCCTCGGTGTGCTATGCCCAATTGGTGGAGGCGACAGAACTCTGAAGGGAAACATCACCTGATGTCTTTTGTTGCTACGAACGTAGCTAGAAGCTACGAACGGAACAAAGGACATCGCTACGAGTCGGGAGCAAAAGGACGCGAACCGAACGTAGTGCATGACTAGGAACAAGAAGCTATGAACGTCGCCAAGAAACTTGATTCACGAGTGAAAACACCGTGTTTCTGCTCGAGTAGGACAGGGAGGACTGTAGGACAGGGAGTGTCGTGCAAGCTTTTGCAATGTCGACCAAGTGCTTCTCCCCAGTGACAACAGGGATCCAAGTACCTTCTCAGAAGGTACCAGTGTTTCCAATCCCCTTCTCAGAAGGTACTTGGATCCCTACATTTTATACGTAGACAACACCCATGACCCCAAAAAGCGTCGCAAACTAAGCCGGCCGCAAGCCCTCAAAGGTCTCTGTGACCAAGTTCACCGCCTGATGCACAAATAAAACGGTGCTCCAGGATACTAGTAACGAGTACATGTTTGATCCCTGCACAACTCATGAGTTTTCCCACTTTCAACTCTGGAAAGCAAAGATCAGGAACCGGTCTTTCGATCGAGGTTTCTGGGGCCCTCTGGGGCCCCAGAGGGGCGCCCTCTGGGACCCCAAGCTGCGGCTGCTGGATAGACATCCACCACTCGGAGCTGAGGCAAAAAGTTCATCCTCACCGGCAGTTGTCTTGCAGAGCTGGGGAGTAAGCGTGAGACTCATGTGGTTTTTGTTTCTCCTGGCCGTGATAAGTGGCTGTTTCTTGCACGATGGCGGTTCTCATCAATGAAAATGACCTGCAGTGATCTTAAAGTGTGGTATAGCAGACTGCCCACCCTTGCCCAGCAAAACTCAATTCCATCTTTGAACATCTCCAATGCAAAAAACCTTGGCAAACCATGCATGTTTGAACATGTTCAACATGTAATTTTTCTGCCAGATGAAAACCAAATCGTTCAAAACCCTGGGTCGTTCAACTTCGATGTTCCAATCGCGAGGTCAAGCTTGGATTTGATGGACACACAGTTCTTGGAGGAACTGGCCCAACAAACTTCTGAATTCCAAATTCCAAGGACCCACAGAGATATTATCTTCTTTCCTTGATATGTTGAAGCTATATTTAGACAACCCCAGGAACCCCTGGTCCCTTATAAACTGGAAATTCTCAACACGAGTCATTCCGTCCCTGCTTCCTGCTTCCGATTGTGAGCCAATCCGCAGCCCGCGAAGCCGGACCTGACACTGGCAAGGCGGAGGTTTTCCACGTGTGCCGTCGTCACATTTCGTGCTTTCCTTGTTGCTTTGCGCATGTCGTTCTTGAAGTTAGTAGAATTGAACGTTTGAAAGTGGGTTTGTTTATCGGATTGCTCTTTGGGCCCAATGGCAGTAGCCTCTCAAAGAATCACAGCTTCAGCGATCCTTCCCACAAGTGCCTACAAAGGAGCGCTTTGAGATGGTCTACCTCTTCGCCCAGTAACAGCTACGTTCGGAGCAAAGGGCATCGCTACTAGGAGCAAGAACGCTACGAACGGGGCCGTACTACTATAGGAGTAAGTAGCTACGAACGTAACAAGAAGCTACTAACCGCACGTTCCGCTCTCCTCTGCTTCGGCCCCTCACGCACTTGAAGCATCTGCTGCCCCACAGGCGTCACAAACTCGGCGCGACGACTCGGGAACGACCCGTCTCAACGACTCGACGCATCTGAACCGTCTCTGGTCGAAGGCATGCCCAACGAAGCAAAAGGCCCAAGCAAAAGGCATGCTTGGAACATCATCTCGAGAAGGTTCCTATATGTTCCTATCAAGCCCTGCCGCCCTGCCCTGCCGTGATTTCAGCGAACAGTGTGAAGCATCCCATCCAATGCTTCCGAAAGCCAAAGATTTGAAGTTACTCACCTTACTGTTCAATGCGTACTGCAATACAATGCCCATCAATGCCCTCAAAGCAATTTTGGGTAGGTTTTCTTATCGTATATCAATGGTTGCTGTGTTTGTCTGATGGAAGCTTTACGTGAATAATATAGATCCAGTACGTTCATGAAGGCTCTTCTAAACGGAAGAGGACCTTGTTGTTTCGTCTATCTTTGATACGAGTTGAACTAAGGAGTTGATATATAACTATCCGAAGCGACTTTTTGGTTCTGAAGCTCCCAACCAAGCTCCCATCTTTGAAGGTCCCATTAGGGTGTCAGTGTCCCACCCTATTTAAAAGGCCGAAACAACTCTTTCAGTAATTTGTTTTGCGTGTGGGTGTGTGGGGAAGAACAGTTTCTTTGTCTTAAAGATGGAAGGGATTGATCTGGGTCTTTCCCTGCTTGGACCTTCATCCTGACTTGTTCCCATCTTTGGTGTCTTTTTCTCAAGCCTGAAGCACGGTCGGCCCTCCGGCACCAGGGCCAACTGGTCAACCGTCAGCGGAGCTGTAGGATGAGTTCAATCCAACGGCAGAGCGACTAGTCATTCGGTCCTTGGGCCTCTTGGTCGACCGAATCTGCTGAGCTCATCACGGGATAGGTCGCAGCCGGCAGATTTTGACCAAGCCTGTGGGCAGCATGGAGAGTGCTGCCCGGCAGATTGTCACCATGTCGAACTTTGTCATTTAGACAAGAAGAATTTGGTGATCACATAGAAACAATAAGCTACTAGGAACAAGTGCATCGCTACTAGTAACAAGTGCCTTACTAGTAGTAACAAGAAGCTATTAGAAACAATAAGTCACATAGATCTTGTAATTCATGTTTTGCAGCGGTTCAATGGTCCACCATCCCTGCGGACCATTCCCACTCCAATTACAGTACGTACGTCTCCTGATTCACTGATTGATCCACGTCTTACTTCTAAATCAAGTATGAATCAGTATGACCATGTTCTTGCTACTTTTCACCCCAATCACTCCCCTCCCTGCTGAGTATCGCGCCTGTGGAACTTCAGATCCTTCGGCAAGTCGCAGCTCGCCTCGTCCTTGCTGGAACGCCTGCTGTGCGTTGGTCCCGCCCCAGTGGCCCCTCGGGTGCGGGTGCCCCCAAGCCAAAGGGCGTAGGGGCGTAGGGTCGACCCTTTTCCCGAACCTGGAAGGAAGGGGGGAAGGGCAGTGTTTTCCCTATAATCGCACGTCATACACACTCATGTGGTGCTGGTGAGTCTTTGTGAAACGGGAGTTTCACGCCAAGGTGTCAATAAAAATAGACGACCCAGCCGGTTTGCAAGCACAGCAGTCGACTGGGGAGTTGTTTCAGCATTGTTTAGCATTGACCCGCAGCGATTTCAGTTAGCCTGCCTCAAACAAAAGTGATCCCACAGGCATTCAAAGGACTTCAAGGTAGGGGTTTAGTATATCGTCGAGGGTGCATCTTCTCTTCTCGAACTTCCTCATTGAACTGGTGAAAGGAACCCACACTCAAATGCGGATGTTTCGGATGAACAACTCCCACATGATGAACAGCCCCCATGCAGGTCCGCATGCAGGTCCGCATGCGGACCTCGGGTCGCTTCTTCCTTGTCTGGACGACCCGTTCACCGAGCTGAATCGCAGTCTTTCAAGCTCGCAGTCCGTTGGAGCGCCTGCCGGTCATGACCTCTGAGACAAACTTGTCATTCAACCTCGGCTCACGAACCCCCAGTCACTTCGAACGCCCAGTCGCTCGAGCATGCTCGAGCAAACTACGTGAAACAAGAGCCATGAGGATGGCGGCCAGATCTAAACGGTTGACTCATAAAACATATATGTACCAGGACCCTCCTGTCGGGGTGTCCAATGAACTACCCCACACTACCTCACCCCGACAGGAGGGTCCTGGTATATAATTACATGTATGTAAGTAGAACTAGTTAAACGCCCCGGATGTTCAAATGTAAAACCCTTCTGATTAGTTTGTTTGTGATATTTTTTCATATTTTTTCAAATCAACTGTCCACACATGTCCACACATGGACCGCAGACTCCTCCGCGTCCCATCGAAAATCACTCGGGCAAGGAATGGACTGTTCCCACGACCACCCTGGCCGTCCACTGGCCGTCTACAGCCCGTCCGAGTTCGCTCCAGTCCTACCTTGAGGAAAGGAATGGACACTTCCAGGTCTCAACAAATCACCCAAGTCACAAAGGATCTGACATGATCTGACGCTGTTTCACAGCGGCGCGGCTCGCGCCGCCGCCGCATCTGCGCGGCTCGCGCCGCCTGATGCGCGGGCGCCCGGGCAATCGACATTCCAGCTGCGGAAGCGGTGGTGGAGTCTCCTGTAGCGGTACTCCAAGGGCGACGCAAGCGACCGAACGAACGAACGAGCTGCGCGATGCGGTGAGCCCGACATCGTGGGTCCGACACCGGTCGAATCCAATGTTTTGGTGTCAAACACTTCGGAGGGTAGAGCTTCCAGAACATGTTGCAAAGATATGTTAGGAATTTCACAAAAAAATCAACGATTCTGGAAGAATAGTACTGCAATATCATCAGTGCTTTGGAGTGTACCCCTTTCATTTCCAGAGTCATCGAGGGGTTCACACCTAAGGCAAAGAGCCACACACTTAGGTGGCTAGCACAGGTCCTCGCACAATGTTGCAGCAGCACCACACAGTTCGGATTATGTTTGTTTCTTTCCGACATCTTGGTATTCTCTTTCCAATAACCAAGCTAAGTAGCTGGCGCTGGCCTAGCACCATCTTTCACCTAGTCTCACCGACCTCCATCGATGAGGGCCATCGGTGACGTGCAAACCCGGTCCTTGCTGGCTTTCTCGCCTAACTGCCACAAAAGCACCTCGGCCGGGCCGCAAAAACCACCGAAAAGGGGCTGACCGAAGAGGGAAAAAGGCCTGGAGTAGATGGTAGAATTGTCGCGATGAAGGTGTGACTCCAAGAATAAGTTAATTAACTGCATTCTTAACACCTAAGAGAGATCATGTCTGAGACATCTGAGGCTTTGATTCACGTGGCAGACTCTCACATGCTTCGATTCCGTTCCCGGACGTGCAAACCGTCTCCACGTGATCCGACATGCCTCGTTGCCGTCCAGCACCAGCAGCTCTTGTTCACTTGGCCTCAACACATCGCTCCACCGGTTTTCGACTGCTCGTGATCCTCGACCGCCGTCCTT